TAAGAAATTCTAAGATAGAAGCAATGGCTCTTTGGTGCCACCTTGTGGCCAAGTAAGAGATGGTCATCCCTAAACTGTGAAGACATGGCTGACTAGCTCCCTACTTACAGAAGGTAAGTACATACATACCACACTGGATTGACTTTATTTAGCAAGAAGTTTCCTGAATCCTCTCTTCTAGGATATTTTTATGAGGGTTACCATCACTAGTAGGAAGTATAGCTGCAGAAGTTACAAACCTTAGTATTTCTCTTGAGAGAAGACCCTACCAGCTGTGACTTTGATCAAGTCAATCTTTCTGTGCCTTAGTTTCCTTATCTAGATCATCTACGGGCATCATGCATCTTAAAGAGGTAAAATGAAGCAGCTGGTATACCATGCAGGAATCACATCATACACACTCATTAAAAACAGGCAAACAAAAAGAACGAGGGAGGTTTTCTACTATTCTACTACCATCTCTAAAATGCTAAGACGGGAAACTCTAAGGACACAAGGGGCCCTAATGTCTGGGTGACATTTGTCAAAAGGTAGTAACAGCCTTTCCCCCTGTAAATGTCTGCATTTTCAACTGCATACAAAATTATGTACATGCATGGTTGTGCATGCCTCTACTCCAGCACTTAAGAGGGCTGATTGATATAAGATCTCAAGTTCACAAACAAAACCAACTGCTACCACCACCAAAAACCCAAAATCTGTTACTGCCTCCTTAAACTCATCAGATTCAAAGGAAATATGAAATAATCAGATACTTTGCATCTTCAAGTTCCATGTCTACCAACGTCTACAACAAAGGCTTCAAACTGTACTGTATTGGGGACTCAGCTCAGTGCTTGAATATTTCCACAGTATGTACAAGATTCAGGTAATTCTGCAGAAAGAAGAGAAAAACATCTATTTTATCTCTAGACATTCAACATTTAATCAAACAACTGTCTCCCCCAAATTTCTGTATTAATTTGCCTAGCAGCTGGATCTTCTTTTTACCTTAATGGTCACCTGTGCTCCTTCTGCAGGGATCACTCCCTCCATAGTGAGGAGCTGAGGTCTGGAGAGAACAGTCTATGGGCCCTGGTCTACAGAAGCTGGCTAATAGTGAAGGCTTAAAGTACGTATAGACCTGCCTATCCTTTAGCCGAATGTGAACGGTAGCCAGGCACGGTGGCTCATGCAGTACTCTTGCTATGAATTGGGGGTCAGCTTAGGCTGCACTGTGACCTCACTTCAACACAAACAACCCACCCCCAAATGTGGAGTGATGAGTAGGAGTAGGTCGAGGTAACTGCAGACATGAGAGGAACTAAGGATGGGTTATGCAGAACTCCCTAGATCATATTCAAACACCTGGATTTTGCCCTCAGCATAAGGAGACTTTAAAAATACTGCAGTGTTTTCTGCTTGCACTGATGCTTTTCCTCAGGAGGATGAATCTTAGGAGCCCGCACAGATGAAATATCTCTGGCCAAAGACACACTCTCATTGTAACTGGAGAAAGGGCTGCTGTAGACCCTTCCCCCAGACTAGAGACACTGCCAGCCCTAGACCTTTAACTGAGAAAGATTATGCCATGCTGATAAGAGACTCAAATAAGGAAAGTTATGCTCTGTGAAATCGGAGTGCCCAGGCAGCCATTAGGAGGAAAAGCTCCAGACATAGCTGCAGGAGGGTAAGAAGGCATCTCCACCACAGAAAGTAAGTATAGGTAAGCCTCTAGCTCTCAAGGGTCAGGCATCAAATCCTCTTCCTCAAGATTTCTACTGAAATCTTTATTGTACTAGGAAGAAGCCGCATTGAATCCTGGTCCAGTGCTGGATCCTGGAGATGATGCCACTACAGGGTGTATTCTCTTATGGATAAAAGTGCTGCCAGACAAATGATTATAAACTGGTTGAATGAATGTGAGTTCAAGATCAGGGCTGGCTGCTTCTGCATGCTGAGGGACATCTATAGACATCACCCTCCTTGCTTCTGGTGTGGGTCTACCGGCAAATGTGTACATTTGCAACAGCAGAAGCTCCCTGATCCCTGCCTTGTGTTTGTGTGGCGTGGTGCCTGTGCTCCAATCTCCCAGAAGAGGATTTGCACCTCCTTGAATTACCACCCATGTTCACTTGACCACTTTGGGAAAGACCTATCTTCTCCTAAGGTAGGAATTGGGATTCCACAGCTTCTTCTGGAGGGACATAAAACAGCCCATTACGTGGTATGACATGAAGTTAAAGGTCAAGTCACAGTTATAATGAAACTCTAGGCTTTCAGGATAAAAAAAAAAAAGCCAGAAACAATTTTTGTTTTCAGATTACATGCCTCATAGATTGTGTTTCATCCTGGCTGCCTGGTCATATTTTTTTCAGAAAACCTTTTTGGGGGTTGGATGTCTGGAGTTCAAATCCAGGGCTTCAAGCATGGTAGGTGGGCACTCTACCTCTGAGCTATATGGCATTACCCTGCTATCCCCTACCCCATGCCTTTATTACCCATGTAACCCCTTGTCTATAAAGCCAGAGCTAGGTCGCTTTCCTTACAAATTGCCTTCTCATTTAATAACTATTGTAACTGAATTTATTTTCTAACAATTCTCATTGACATATCCCTCAAACTGCCACTAATTTTAAAATTTGGCAATTTACTTTAAAAACCTCATTTTGTATGTGTATTTGCTCATACATATAGGTCACAGTACAACTTACAAGAGTGCTTCTTTCAAGTATAGGGGCTTGAATTCAGGACATCAAGTCTAGTGGCATTTATCTTGACTTGCTGAGCCATCTTATTGCACAACTACTTCCTTTAGCTAACAGGATCTTAGAGCTACTTAACATACGGGGACTGCATGACTCATACTTGTAGGCATCCTTCAAGGAGCTTCAAGACAAATGAGAGAGCAAGACACACTGTCTGCAGATGACAGACAAGACGAAGCTCTGCAGGGCATTCCAACTGGACAGAAAAGTACCTTGTCTAAGGTTCACAGTATGGAGGCAAAGTAGGATTTAGAGAGAAGAGCTGGGTATCGGCCTATGCCGTCAACCACATCACACCACCTCTTACAATAACGGAAGAGAAACTTTTGTTTAGTTCTATTTTATGAAAGGCAAACAAACTGCAGAAATCTGAAGTTTTCTTTCAGGAATCACCACAGATTTGCTTTTACTCTAAAGGTTATTGTATACACAGTGTTCAGAAATCTATTTGTAGTTGTATCAGTTTTGTCAAATGCAAAGGACAAGCATGACTCATACAAATAGATTTTAAATAAGCCTTGAATCAGAATTTAATTGCTAAATGACTCATCTATTGGAAAAGTACTGTTTCCCATTCCAAATTATTTTCTCAAACTGAAAAGAGTACAAGTGTATCAAACCTTTGCCAGTATTTTAAAAACCATGTCCAGTTACAAATTAGTTTAAAACTTCTTTAAAATTAATAATCAAGTGATGTTCCCTATTATGCAACTATTATCACTTCAACAACCTCTGAATAAACATTACTAGTAAATTTTGGACAATTAAAAACTATAAAATGAGATTGTTGCCAGAAGAGAAACGACTGTAAGTTAAAAACGCACAGACATTTATTTAGGAGGTACAATCACTAGAGTCCTTATATGTCAATGATCATTCCACATCATAATCACATGTATTCTTTAAGTCTACACCAAGTCATGCTGGCAATGCTTTCCAGGTAAGCCATAACAATATCTCCTATTAGATTCTATTCATTTTAATTGTAAACAAAGTACCTGAATAAAATACCTTAAAATTTTACAACAGGAAGACGATCTTAAAAACGAAACCATCAAGCTTTAAACACGGCTACAATGGTGGGCACAGTGACGGGCGAAGGAGCTGCATGGAGACAGCGCACAATCGTCACTCAGCGCTTTCGCATCTGACAATTTTACACATGCTCTTTCAAATAACCTAAAAGCTTTTTTTAAAGGTAAATGGGGCAGAAGGAAAAAGCACTGAATTTTACAATTAAATTATTGGTAGGTTCCACTTTAAAGGCCAGCCTGGTTAACACAGTGAATTCCAGGACAGCTAGGGATATGTAGAGACCTTCAAAAAGGTCAACTGTGAATTGTAAATAAGGAAAGCCAAATATCTTTGAAGCCCATAAAGAGGTACTAAGAAATACAATCAATCATTACTTAGCTTGTGATTAAATGTCCAGTATAATCGGAAATTCCATGAGCGAGTGCTTCTCAAAGGTGGGTTTCCATCAGAACTACACAGAATGAGCTTCTAAAGGCAATAGGGCGTAGACTTGGTCAAAACACATTATATAAAATTGTTAACCAACAAAGAAATGATTTTGACTTAGCTGTTCTTGGAAGGGACCTAGGTATCAGTAAGTTCTAAGCTCTGCAGGGCATTCTAACATGCAGCTAAGGTTGAGAACCACCAAGTCAACTCAGTCTGAACTATTTAAGAAAATAAATGGAAGACTGGGGCAAAGGGAAATTTGCATTGTAAGTTACAAATGAAACAAACACTATTATATATTTACTGCTTGCTTGATCTTATTCACAAACCATCCATTTATTAGATGATGCTCCTTCACTTTCTTGTTACACAAGAAGACTACTGTACATCTGCCATGGCATTTTCCTATGGTCAATATTTAAAATTCTGAGCTATGAGAATTGTATCAATGAAAGCAAGCTATTGCTACTCATGCTGAATCGTACCAAGCAAAGCTATGCATTTGGCTCCTTTAAGTTACTTTTAAGAATTATAATTAGGTATCAGCCCACAGAAAGAACAGATTGTGAATTACTGTAGAAAAGCTTACTCGACAAACTAAAAAAAAGAAAAAAAACTGTAACTTGGCTGAAATTGTGCAATCGCCGAAACATGAACCAGGAAGCTGTAATTATAATGGAACGCTGATGCGTCCTCAGGAGCAAATGCAGCCGAGTAGCTAGGCTGAGACAAGGTTTCCCCCAGGGTGTACTTGTCCCATGAAGTATGAATACGAGCACAACAATAATATTACTGTTCTATATGCACCAACTTTAATACAGAGTTTTACAACAATACCTCTAATAATCTTACAATTAAATTAAAATATGTCATACTCTTCTATACTACTTTGGTGTCAACATTTTAAAAACATATCAGCTAATTTTGAAAATATACAATTCAACATGATCCTATCAATATCAAGCACATTTTGCAGTGGACTAAAGACATTCAACCATGCACAATCCAGTGTTCAATTCCTAAATGATAAATAACAATGCTGATTGACTTTTACTCTGAAAATCAATGAAAACTGCAGATCTCTTGTAAGACTGACAGTGCTCACAAACATGCAAAAACACGTACACACTTCCATTCTTCCTGAAGGAATGTTACAAAATGCCCATTTTTTTAGAAAAAATAAAGATAATAAAGTTGTAATTATGATAAATTACTGCATTTCAACCCATTAGTTTCTTAACATTGTCACTTAAACCCTTTAGAAATGTTCCTATAGTCTGCGACTGAACATGAATCAACTTTGATTTCAGCTTTTAGAAGACTTAGTCACAATCACACGATAGCTGCCTTTTAGTAAAATGGTGACATCCAGTGGACAAATGGTAAAAAGCTTGTTCAAACTCCCATTGCTATTTGGATCATAAAGATATGAAGCACTCTGAACTCCACTCATTGTGGGACTTAAGAAGCTGCCTGTTTCTAAATCTTAAACAAACCTTGTCTTTCCTTCCTGTCTTGAATCGGTACCGAAGCTGGGTCAGTAATTATGCTGGGCTCTTCAGGCACCACACTTGAAGTTATTACTTTGTCTTGCTTCTATTTCTCTCAGCACAAACTAAGTGACTCATCTCTAGGCATGGAAGAACCGAAATATGAGAAATATATTTAAATACAAATGAATAGCATAAAAATTTGAAAAGTTGACATCTGAGCTGGTTTGCATTTATAATTTATGACATAGTGCTAAATATAAATAAGGGATTTAGTCATTAATGCTAAAAATCAAATTACATCCTCTCACCTCCCTGCTTAAATATTATGAAAGAATACACATTTCATCAATGATTGCTTCAGTGTTTAAAAACTTACTTTTACAAATCAGTATAAATGAATACATATACATTGTTTAAATAAAAGTAGAAAGGTTCCACGATAGCTATGATTTACCACGGATTACAGATATTTTATGTATGTTCTAAGTACAAAATGCAGCAGCAATGCCAACAAACAGTGTCATAAACCGCTGAAGGCAAGACTGCTAGGTTTAATTTCTTGGAAAACTGAAAAGAAATTTCACAAAGAAATTGCAATAAGCAAAAGGAAATATTGGAGAACTGTTATCTGTAAATAAGTTGCCAAATGAAGAAACCTCTTTTTAAAAAAAGATTAAGAATGTAAAAGTACATTTTAATATTAAAAAAGCATTTTTAAAAATCTATAACAACTTTGTGACAAACTCTGCATTTGAAAAAGGCCTGTAAAAACAGCAGGACAGAACTGCCCTCATCACCTTTTACTTTTTCTCGTGAGAAAAAAAGTGTATGCTTCTCTACAACCGTAAGTGATGCTAAAATAGGCATTTATAAAATGGCAAGAAGATTTCACGGAAGTTTCTGGTGTTTTATAATCATTGGCATTGAGGCCATCAGTAGGTCACAAGTAAATCTTTTCTAGCTAAAAGCAAAGAGGAACATAAAGTTTTTAAATGATTAGGTTTGTTGTCTGCGTTTTGCCGATCTCATTTTTTCAAAGCGTGATTCCATTTCTTCCAAGACCTTTGGTGTATACCGCACCACTAATTTAACCTTCCCTTGGGCTGCTTTCAGTAGTTCCACAGCTTTCTCATGATGCTCTCCTTCAACACTCTGGAAAAGTGCACACACACAAACAACACGTAATTCAATAATTAATAAGTAAACAAGTTCATAAGTAACCCAACCTGTAAAAAAATGTTTAAAACATAATTAAACATTGTAAGCGTTAACTCATTTCAGCATTACAAAAATAATAATCGTACTCCATCAGTTTTAATCAATGCGAAGTCCTATGAGACACATTTGTGCACTGTAGGAATACACACCTTATTACTGCAATAGGGCAGCAGTAGAGCAAATAACTGTCATTCTACACAAGTAAAATGCCGGTTTATTTCTAACCTAACACACAGCTTTAGCTCCTCGAAAGCACTGCTGACTTACACTGGAGTTGCTCTATAGCCTACACTTACAACTCTGGGCTGGGGATTAACTCAGTGGTCAAGCGGTTGCCTGATATTATGAGTTAAGTGTTCACCCACCGAAAACCTCCATTACCACTAGCTACCAAAACAACCACACAACACTGCACAGAGCAGTAGCACCTGGGCTTCTCTCAAGGGGTTTTAAAACTCAGTCTAGGAAGCTTTCCCCTTTTACCTTCTGATTCGATAGCTCCAGTGCACCCCCAAGTGGCTACATCGCATTATTACAAAGAGCAAAAATAAATAGATTCATCTTTACCACTCCGTTAACAGAAAGTAGCTGATCTCCTCGCTTGAGGCCCCCATGTCTGTCAGCAATTCCACCCGGAATTATTCGTGAGATATAGATTGGTGAGTTTTGTTCTTTGCCTCCCATGATATTGAATCCAAGGCCTTCTTCTGTTTTGGGTAACTCAACAACTCGGGGGTGGGAGTGCCCTTCACTGGCAGCAAATGCAGCAACAGTAGCCTGAAAGAAATATACACATTTAAGAAACAAACTTTTTTTTTTTGTTTGTTTTTCGAGACAGGGTTTCTTTGTGGCTTTGGAACCTGTCCTGGAACTAGTTCTGTAGACCAGGCTGGTCTCGAACTCACAGAGATACGCCTGCCTCTGCCTCCCGAGTGAATAAACTTATTTTTGAGGGGTTGGGGTTTGAACCCAGGGACTCAGATATGAAAAGCACTGTGCATCGTTCTACATCTTTGAACCACACAGCTTTTCATTTGTGAGCTTCCACAACTTCACTGTAAGTCAAACAAGTTTGCAGGAGATAACTGAAAATATAAATACTCAGAGATCACGTAGAAAGTAAACTTCAGATCACACTAGCTCCTCCAGATCTCAGAAACATGCTGCCGCAGGTGCACAGTGCTGCTCAAGAAGGCATGCGACAGATGTGTAGATATTAAGAGGGAAGCCCTGCTTGAGGATGCCAACAGCCCTGAGCTGGTTCAGGAGCCCCTGGGCAAGGCACAACCTACTACATCAATGTGTCCTTCTAGGAAGTCATTTTGGCTGCTATATTGTTTGAACCAAATACTAAATAACAAAGACTTCAAGAAATAAAACAACATTTAGAAAAGGAAAGATATTTTTTGTTGCTTTAGCTAAAGTATCTAGTTACAACTAAAAAGAAAATGATATAGAAGAGATATAACTATGTCTGATTATATTCTAACACGGGTTTACATTCTGTTTCCTTTCCCATTTAAAGGCACCATTTTCATTATGGATCCTGAATGGAAAATCAAAACTAAGGAGGGAGGGAAAAGACATTGAGATGTACTGAATGCCAACTACTATCTCAGAAGCACTAAAAAGACCCCAATCTACAAACAGCCAAGACTCGCAAACTCTGAGGGCTATAAGTCAGAGAGAACCAATTGCTTTTGGGGGTGAAGGCATAAAACAGGCTAGCTTCAAACTCTTCATGCCTTAGCCTAAAGTGCTGGGATTGCAAGTATGTTGACAAAACTTGCAAAAAAAAAAAATTTCTTTTCTGAGACATGGTCTAATTTAGCCCAGGCTGGCCCCAAGCATGTTACAGACCCAATAAACTTAAATTTCTGCTCCTCCTGCCCCACCTCCCAAATGATGGTATTATAGGCATACACCACCACACCTGGTTTTACGTGGTGCTAAGGATTGAGGGAGCTCAAAGCCTATGCACACTAGGCAGACACTAGAAACTGAACTAGACCCACACACCTTCCCAAACCCCAAGTGTCTACGAATTTAGCAACTTTGACCAAATGAAACTTACACGTTTAAATACTTGTACTTAATGAAGACGCCGGTACTTCCCTTTGTGAACCAGTAACTAGCAATACAAAATAGCCTGCTATTAAGTACTTGTAATATATGTTAACGTATTCTAAGTACATAAGATACACATCTTGTTGGGGAATATTATTTTAAGGTGTGTTACTTTATGCTGTGGAATATTTTCTTTACTGATGTAAAGATGAGTTGTTTTTGTTTATGATGCAATTTTTTTAACTCTGTGAAGCTGTGTTACTGTGTCTGTCTAAAATACCTGATAGTTCTAAAGAGTTGAATGGCCAATAGTGAAGCAGAGGCAAGGAGAGGCGGGGCTGGCATGCAGAGAGTATAAATAGGAGGAGAAATGAGGAAGAGGAGCAAGAAACAGAGAACAAGGAAAGGAAGATGTCAGGGGCCAGCCAGCCATGGAGTAAAATATATAGAGAAAGTAAGATATACAGAAGTAAGAAAAGGAAAAATTCCAGAGACAAAAGGTAATCAGAATAATTTAAAAGTTAGAAAAGCTGGAAAGAAACAAAATAAGCTAAGGCTGGGTATTAATAAGTTAGAATAAATCTCTGTGTGTGATTTATTTGGGAGCTGGGTAGTGGCTCCCAAAAAAGCCAAGAGCTAAAGAGAAAAGAGTAAAACACATAACAACATCTAGCTCAATGTCTGAGTTATTTGAGGAAAATAACATCGGTACAAAAACAAAACAAACAAAAACGCAGAAAAACCCACCCACACACAAACACTTCATGTCATGGACAGCTCTGAGGAAGTGGCCTAAGACCAACTAACACTGTCCAATATGTACAGAGTCAAAGTCAAGGGAAAAATCCAAGAGCAATGTGAGGGCTTACCCTAGGGCCCCCAGGATTATCGTTCACGCATTGCTGTGTGGGGTAAGGAAAGCAGTGTACCTTTATGCTTCTTCATCAACAATGAAGTCATCTTCATTGATTATAATCACAAATCTGCATAATGTACTGAATACAATTATATAAGGTATGCTATACATATTACTGTATTCTCAGTATATTGCCCAAATAGTATCACAAAATCTTATAAAGCCAACAAAACATTCCTATTTCTTAGTACTTGAGATGTATAGCATAGTTTAGAATATACACTAGTTTTAAAAGATACTATATATCTTATAATTGCATGTTAAATCTTCAATTATGACTTCTGTACTTTATATACACACATATATATATATATACATACATACATATACGCACACATATACAGACAGCTTGTATGTCTCTGTGTGAGCATGTGCTGACTTCCTGGCCAGTGAGCACCCAGGATATTCACCTCTTTATTCCTCCAGCACTAGGGTTATAGACACTGTTATTCTGAGCATTTATTTGGAAGTCGGGGATCTGTACTTATGCCCTATTGCTTGGATAAGCACTTTACCCAGTAAGCTATCTTCCAGGCCATGTTCTAGTTTCTGTGTTTTGGAGCCCCACTTTTGATACCTTTGCAGTTGCATTAGCTCTCACTTCAGGGCTGCTACTGATGTCCACAGTTTCATAAACATGCTCATACACCTGCAAAACACAAAGTTTTCATATTTCAGTTCTAGAGAAGCTAACAAATATGTTAAAATTTCCCAAAGACATTTTTGTAAAATCTAAATGCTTTCCTATTTGGCATTTCAAAAAAAAAAAAAAAACCACCTTCTTTCTTTTTTAGTGATGGTACTGTGAGTTGAACCCCAGATTTCATACATGTTAGACACATACAAAATCTGCATCTCAATTCTACCACTGAGCTTACGCCCAGCTAAAAATTCCAAAAAAATGAGAGACAACAGCAGTTCTAATGTTTTCTTTTTTCAGGCAGGCTGATCTATATATAACTCACTGTGTAGGTGTCATGGGCATTCTCCTGTCTCACCCTCCTGAGTGTTGAGATTACAGGCTTGAGCCACCATGTCCAGCTCTAGTTCATTTTCTATTGTATTTCTGAATTCAGATTTCGGTGTATTTCTGTAGCTACTTAACTCAAAATCTAAGCAAATATCAACCATGTTAACTTACCTCCCTCACAGCATTGCAGAACTCACTCTGAAGGACTCTTTGCAAAGCCTGAAGTTTCTGTGGTGGCACCTCTCCACTCCTTTGTAGTTTTTCCAACAATTCAATTGCTCTGCAGATATCTACAGAAAAACAAAACATAAGTGGTAATTCTTGCTAAAAATTCTCTCATTCCTTTAGAACATTGTAGGTGCTAAAATTAATGCAAAGGCTAGCCAGGTGTGGTGCCCAATACCAATAATCCTCACTCCAGAAGCTGAGGCAGGGTGATCACCATCTGTTAAAGACCAGCTTGGGTTTCAATACTGCCTCAAGAACAAAGCAAACAACCCCAAACCCCCAATTCCCCAAAAGACAAAGAATAAATAATAAAAAAGAAAAATCTTTAATCAGAAAAGTTAACAGTATTATCATCCATTATTTAGTCACTAAAAATTTACCTAATCATGTCATTGGTAACCAAAGCGGCCAACCAGTACAAGAGACCGTGTGCTAGTGACTTTGCTGTTACTTCCGGAAGGAAAACATGATACATATGTAATACACACTGTTTCATGACACATGGAAATGCAATTAGTTGTTAGGATCACTAACACTGTTTTAATTCAGACATGTCCAGATACAGTTTACAAAACAGAAAGAAAAAATAGCTTTATCAGCCTGATCCTAATTAGTGCTTGTGTGTAGCCTTGGATAAGTTTCCCAGATTGTAAAACATCAATAATAGTAACGCATTTGGGAAAAAGAAAAGGAAATAAAAAGGCTCAAAGCACATATATGTCACATTGGTATGGACTAATCTTAAGAAATATTAAGGGAAGCCAGGCAGTGGTGGCACAGGCCTCTAATCTCTGCACTAGGGAGGCAGAGGCAGGCGGATCTCTGTGAGTTCGAGGCCAGCCTGGTCTACAAGAGCTAGTTCCGGGACAGGCTCCAAAGCCACAGAGAAACCCTGTCTCGAAAAACCAAAAAAATAAAATAAAATAAACAAACAGACAAGCAAACACTAAGGGATCAGAAGTTCTGCAGTTAAGAGCAATTCCAGATTCCCAGCAGCCACTTGGGCATCTCACAATTACTTAAAACTCCACTTCTAGGGATCTGACAACCTTGTCTGGTCTCTTACCACCATCTAACACACACAACTTAAAAAGAAAAAAACTGAAAAAGAAAAAAAAAAGAATTACACACATACACACACAAATTAGGTTACTGTGATTGGGAAATGTCCAAATGGGTTTTATGAACAAAGAACTTTTGAAGATGAAGATTCATGTTATAATTCATGTTATAACAGAGGGGATCATGACCTCTGTTCTGATCCCCAAGGTGTTTCTGCACCCACACCTAAATGTATTACTAACACTAATTAACCAAAATTTCAGTAAATTTTAATCTTGTTCATTTACCTCCAAAGATTAGCATTCCTACTAGTCTACATATTCTAGTCCTTAAACACTTTTGACTTGGTGGGGGAAGTTTTGGATTTCATGCTATACTAAAGAACCAGATATTTACTTCATAGAATTAGGACTTTTCTTTGCACTTGCAGATGAAAAGGTCCAAGTAAACTGAGCAGGGAAACAAAGCGTTGATTCAGTTCTGGATAATAAAAGCGTAAACTGTTTTTAATCAAGCAGACTACCTCTGCTTTGATTTGCCACCTCCACAGTGGCGATGAAATGTTGTTTCTGGAGTTGCTGGCTTACAAAGTTACGATTTATTATCCACACTAAAATCCTGTAAGTAGGCCTGGAAATGTAGCTCAGTGGTAGAGTGCTCACCTACCATGTGCAATGCCCTCAACTCAGTAGCCAATGTGGTGGAAAGAAGGAAAGCGGAAGGGAGAAGGAAGGAGTAGAGAGAAGAAGTCCAGCAAATTAACACTGGGAAGCAAGCTAAACTCTATTAAATCTAAACTGTACCAAAAAGCTTATGGAGTTTGTGCTCTGGTGAATTATACTCTGATGAGTTAGAAGACAGACAGGAATTTACTCATAGGTGCTGGTTTACTGTGAACTCTTGAGAGTATCTGCCAGGTCTGTTAAGATTCCTCAATCAGAATCTGACTTGCTGACCCTGTTAACTGGCCTTCATCGCCACCATTTGGAGTTTTCTACTGTATAACTAAAAACTTTGTAACCGCAAACAGCAAATGCCAGAGGATCAGGGTCCACATTTTGTGCTTCATTTAAAAATACCAAGAATGCCAAGTTGTTAAAAACCTCCAATTACTCTGCTTAACACAACAGATTTGTTCCTATCCACAAGGCACATTGACATTATGCTCAAGAAGAAAATGTCACAGCTGTAAGCCTACCTTAGTCTTTCCCAAGCTACCCTCGGTCACTGAATGCCACTTTAATTAAAGCCCTGATAGGCTGGAGAGAAACAAGTCCGCAGAAAGCGGCTCTTTTAAGTGCACCAACTTTAAAATTATTTCCTTCTTGGACAATATTAATATAGAGACTGCAAGTACTAATATATGCAAAGTAGTGTCAAACTCCATTCCATGCTTTGTTTGCCAACAGGCACTTCCTGAGTACTCTAACTTGCAGTTGTAAAAAGCTTGCTCCAGTTGTTTGAAAACTAACGATTTGGGCAGGGCAGAGAGAAATGTTGGAAATCTGCAACTGGCCACCGGTAGACTACTTCCACAGCACGTTTTATTTTTCGTGACTGTTTGCTCTAAGAAGCAATCAACCAACCAGGTTGGCAACTGTAGGGCTTCTAAGAACTAGTATCGCACTTAGGAGTGATTTACAACTATTACTCCACCTAGTTACGTAAGCTTCACAAGACCAAGCCAGTCGGATTGTTTTTAAAGCATCCCCCCCCCCCCTCCTCCGTGACGGGAAGGAATGCAAAAGCCAAGAAATACCAACTCAAGGCCCAGGAGGCTGTGGTCAGAGTAATGAAGGCGTCTGTGTTGAAATGCGGGCGAGGTAGTTTATGCGGGAATGTGCCTGTGTCTGCCAAGTGTACGAACGAGGGCGAGAGGGCACACGAATTCGTTCACGCACGGGGGGCAATGAAGGTAGATAGTGCCGAACAGCGAGTGGGGCTCTCGCTTTTAGGGTTTATAAAGTCGAAAGCCGCATCTGCAGTGACCCAGGGAGTGTCCGTGTCTGCCGTCGTGAGCAGGTCGTCAGGACCGAGCTGCGCCCACCGTCGGGGTGAACGTAGGGGGGTCTGGCGAGCTTTCAAACCGCGGTCAGCTCCTCCCGCGAGCAGCGGCCGGCACGAAGGCCGGGGAGGCGCTCCGGGTGTCAGCGCCCCGGCCACCTCGTCTCCGCTCCGGCCCGCCAGGCGTTCCGTGAGTCCCCACCCGCTCCGCCCACCGCGGTCGCGGGAGCCGCCGCACTCACCCCTCTCCAGCCGGACAGGTTCGCCCAGCGCCGCCATCTTCTCCTCGGCGATGAGGACCCACAGGAAGTGACGACACGGAGCCCGCGGTGGGCGGGGCCGGGAAGCCGGAAGGGTGAGGAGGGTTAGTAACGCGAGAGCCCGAAGGATGCGGGTCCCCTACGCAGAGCTGTGGCTGCTGAGTGTTCGCCGTCGAGGTGTTGCTCGCTGTTCGTTCTGTGCTCGTCCACTTCCAACCATCTGAGGTTGAAAAGAACCGATCTCCCGAATTGTCCCCTGCCTCGGGGAAGCCACGTCTTTAGTTACAGGCCCTGCTTGGTCCGCGGTAGCCAGCCTCTGACCTTGGACTTGCACACTGACCATCTCTCCACGTCCAAGACTCTTAGAAAAAAAAATAGTAATAATCCACAATTTGACTCTTTTCCACAAGTCTGTTTGAGCAGAAGGGTAGACAATACATAGTAATTGGCTGGGAGAAAAGATGCTTCGATGCATCAGAAAGTAACGCTTCTAATTGACCAAAATCTTTTGTAAATGAAGTATGAAGTTTATATGTTGTTTTGTAGGTTCAATTTCTAATTTGTAAAAACTTTTGGTACGTATAGGTGTTTTACCTGAGTGAATGTCTGTGCATCATTTACCTGCCTGGTACTTATGGAGGCCACAAGAGGGCATTGGATCCCCTAAAACTGACATTAAAGATGGTTATGAGCTGCCATGTGGGTGTTGAGACTCTAACCCCATGCAGGCTGGAAGAGCAGCCAGTACTCCTAATGGTTGTGCCATCTCTCTAGGCCCTCATAAGGCCACTTCTAAAAATTTTGTGACCCCAAGACCTTTTAGTCCCTAATTTAAGTGAGATAATTTTCATGAAATTTGGATTTGACTAGCAAATCCCTTGGATCTGTGTTCTCAACACCTCCAGAAGGGGATTGGTTTAGTACCTGACGGTTGGGGATCTACTTCTTCTGTTCAACTACAGTCTTCTACATACTATTAAGTAGAGCCAATGCAGACTTCTGTGTAAGACTTAATTGAATTCTACCACTGGGTAGTGGTCGTCAAACTTCCTCATACTCGAGGCAAATTATGTAGGTTTTTTATGCTGATAGGAACTAGTCTTATGAACTGGGGTCACACATTAACTTTTCCTCTCCCTACACTTTTTTTCAGTGCCTGAGAATCAAACCCACAGACTTTTATGTGCTACACAAAGGCTCTGCTGATGTAGCTTGTCTGAGCTACATCTTCTATCCTCTGCTCCGTTGAAGTAGTCTTTTTCCATGTCTTTGATAATTGTGACATAATCATAAAATTCCAGAATTCCAGGTTTCAATAGAAGACCATAAAGATTTCTAGAGGATAAAAAGTCGCCCTCTAATGACGAGTAATCAGAATAGTATGCACTTTTCATTAACATCCCTGGAAGAACTCTGCAAGCGATACAATTTGATAGAAAAGTAACTCCCTAACTAGGATTTGCTATTTGTTTTCTAGAGCTTCCATAGCAAAGAATAACAAGTGGAATGTCTTAAGACAGCAGATAGTTGTCTCACATTTCTAAAATAAAAATGAATCTACAGGAATCCTTCCTTGTTTTTTCTTGGCTTTCTAGAAGTTTCTTGGCAGTCTTTGGTGTTCCTGACTTGCAGTTGTGTTGCTCCAATCTTTGTTTCGTTGTCACGTGGCATTCTATTATTTCATCAGAGCATGTACTGATAAGAACAACAGTTATATTGGACCAGAGACCTACTCCAACTCACTATGCTGTCATCATAATCATAACTAGTTACTTAAGCAGGGGACCTGCTTCCAAATACATTCTGATTCTTAAGTACATGTTTTTTTTTAAAGGGGAAGAGTCCATTTATTATACTTATGAAATTATCAGAAGTAAAGTTATACCAAAAGATGTCTTAGGGCTATGGATGTAGCCCAGCATTTGAGCATTTGTCTAGTGTGTAAAACATCTTGGGCTTGATCCACAATTTTATATTAAACATGTACGTTCTAAAAAATTACTTTCCATGCATAATTTCTCAAAAGCAACTAGCAAATGTGCCCCCATAGAATTAAGAAGTTAGGCTGCAGCTGTAGCTCAGGGGTAGAGCCTAGCCCATACCTGGCCCTTGAGTCCAACCATCAGAAAAACAGGGAACCAATGAAGATGATTCTAGAATGCTTGTTTTATTAGTATCTCAAGAGAAACAAAACCAACAGAATGTGTATACTCACATGGGTGCACATGCATGGAAACACACAAACAGATTTATTATGAGACATTGATTCAAGTGATCATGAAAGATAAAGAGCCACATGATCTGTGGCCTACAAGAGATGGGAAAATACAGGAAACAAGATGGTAATAGTTTCAGTACAAAGTCAAAGGTTAAAAAAAAAGCAGACGTTAACGGTGTAACTCCTAGTCTGTGGTTGGGGACCTGATGCCCAGAACCACTGCTCCAAAGGCAGAAGGCATATAACCCGTTCTAACCAGAGAGAAATGCTGCCCTTGTCTGCTCTTTTGTCCTATCTAGGCCCTCACAGGATAGATTATATGCTGCCTACCCACATTGCTGATGGTGGCCTTTTCTCAATTTATCAAGCAAATGCTAAGCTATTTTGCAAAAACCCTGGCCCATCCAAAAATAATGCTTTATCAGCTATCTTGCTATCCTTTTGTTGTTTTTAGACAGGGTCTCTCTGCAGCCTTCACTATCTTAAAACTTGCTATGTAGACCAGGCTGGTCTCCAACTTACAGAGGTCCACTTGTTTATGTTTCTAGGGTTCTGGGATCAAAGGCTTGTGCTGTTATCCCCAGTCTGAGCATCTTTTAGCCCAGTTAAGTTGATACTTCAGGTTAACCATTGACAGTTTTCTATTGAGTTTAGGGGAAAGGCTGCGGCCCCTGTGGGCAAAAAGCCTTACTCCAAAGTAGTGGCGAGGCAGTTTTTTTGGCCTGGCTTTACAGGTAGCTCAGGTGGAGTGGGTCAGGATCCCAGTGAACCTACAGCAACATTTCCCCCCAGGAATAAGCCATATTCATTTAAAGTGTCAAGATCATGAAACTCAACTGCGAAAAACTCAAGTTGGATAACTGCCAGGCGCTGCTGGAGCTGGAGATGAAATCAGGCCTCAAGTCAAATCTCCGTGAGCTCAAAATCAAGATCGCCAAGCAAATCAAACTTGATGGTTGCTTGGAAAGTGATCCTAATTGTTGTTCCAGTTTCTCAGCTGAAATGTTCCCAGAAAATCCAAGTCCAGTTAGTGTGTGAAGTGGGGAAAAGTTTACTAGGAAGCATGTATTCTTTATTGCTCTGGGGAGAATTCTGCCTAAGCCAGCTCAATAAAACCATACAAAAAAATAAGCCAATGTGTCCCAGAAGCCAAACACTGACTTTTGTGCATGATGCAGCCTTGAGGATTTGTTCTTCTCAAGTGAAACTTTGAGCAAGACGATCCACTGAAACTGGGTGGCAGTTGACTCATTTAGACACAGTGTGTCAGAACAGGGGAGCACAAGGTCAAACTTTTCTTTGGTAACAGGGAATCTGAGGCTCTCCTGATTCTCATGGGCACAAGGCATATATATGATGCATATACATACACAGAGGCAGAGCAGTCATACCCACAAATCTTCAAACCCCAAAAAACAGTTATGGCCCTTCTTTCTGAGTCTTCAAAGTGCTAGGATGTGCACATGCCACCACAAACCTGGCTAGATGTATTTTAATAAAGTGAAAATAATGAAAAACAAAAGCAATAATATTAAGTAAGGTAAAACTCGATATATTTTACCTTGGAATCTAAGCTGTTTTAGTCTCTTGTTTTCAAATAGAAATAGTCACTCTTGGTTACAGATATTATGAAAATGTATAGGAGACCTACGTTATAAATACTGTTTGAATGGTTGGAGAGTGCAGACAATAGGACCAATAAGAGGGCTGGTGGGTGTGTAACTTAACAGTACTTTTCACCAAACCTGGAGACCTGAGTTCAGTCCCTGGAATGTACAGTGTAAGGAAGAACTGACTCGCAAACGTTATTTCTGCCCCCCCCCATACCATCGTACTTGCTCTTCCCCCAATAAATAAATGAAAAGAGGAAAGAATAGAACAGAAACACTTAGAGATTTCAAGGGCTTAAAGATTAGATGCTTTTCATTGTTATATTTATAAAACCGCTATTTGGCGTTTGAATCTCACTGAACTGTAGGTGGTCTGTGGATTTGCCACCCTTGATTCCTAGTTTAGTTATCGGTGCCTGACAGAGGTGATAGCACGGGACTAAGTCCATGCCTTGGCAGAACATCTTCTCTTAGATATGACTAGTGCATGGCGCACAATGTATTTGTCTTGTCTGGTATAACACTATAATATTTGGAGGAACTTCCTAATTCTTGTAGGAGGAGCATCCCCAAATTATGGAAAAGTAGTAGCCTACATATCAAGGGCTTTCTTTTCCTGTCAAAACTGGACCACCATGGGATTGTGTGGTCTTGGAAATAGTATAGTCTCACTTTTGATGAGTTTTCTCATTTATCAAAAACATTAAAGAATACCTGAAGATTACTCGATGATATATACATAATGTATAGCAAATAATACAAATATTTATGTAATATACATTCTTTAAAACTTTTGGAATTTAATATATCAGAATATCTAGGAAAATCTCTGGTAATATACATTTTTCTCATGTGTGTATTTATTATGATATAGGTGCTGAGGATTGAACCCAGTCCTTATACATGCTAATAGTTCTGGAATCAACATTTTTCAAATTCAGTGGTTCTGACACATTCAGAGTGATTCAGTGAACTCTTTTTCGGGTTCAAAAAATTATTCCTGGGGCTTTTTCCAACAGAAATAGAAAACACTATCCTGAGTGAGGTAAGCCAGACCCAAAAAGAGGAACATGGGATATACTCACTCATATTTGGTTTCTAGCCATAAATAAAGGACACTGAGCCTATAATTCGTGATCCTAGAGAAGCTAAATAAGAAGGTGAACCCAAAGAAAAACATATAGGCATCCTCCTGGATATTAACCTTCATCAGGCAATGAAAGGAG